ATTCAGATCGATTCTGAGTCATATCAACTAGTCTCTAAACACTGATTTTGAGTGTCTATCGAACCCCAAACAGGAAGTTTATATTTCCTAACACGGCTCATATGAATAGCAGAGACTTCAGGAATGAAACGCACGTAATTTTTCAATCTATATTTACTTTATTTTTTTGATGTATTCTTTGAGATGGATCCTTTAATCTTGAAGCTTTCATTAAGATTCTGAACATCATCAGCACAAACCTCAGAAGAAAGTGAGCCGTGAGATTTCTTCCAGAAATGGTCTACTAGCCTACCTTGATAATATCTACTGTGACCTTCTTATTGTTTCTCGTGTTTCCTATTGGTTGACAAATTGAGTCAATGTCAATATGCCAACTATTGTAACTGACCTGAGTGCAAAGAATCTGAGAATTCCATCGCATTTTTTGCTTCCTCTATCCAAGATTTCCACATTTTTTTTCAGTCGAATTCATGACCACAACCGTCTGCATGCATTACTATTAGATGTGCTCCTTTACTATAAGTTGACGTTTATGTAGATGAACATGAAGAGAGCAGCGATTCAATTCAACACAGTGTTTTTCGCAGTCTGTAGCCTATTTTATCTATTTTTATTTATTCCAAGCATACTCGATGCAGTATAGGCACTAAGGAATAAGATACATAGAATACGATCCAGCCACAAACAGGCTCATGTATAAGGTCATAAAGCTATAACTATAGTGTGAGTTTACATGATATTACTGAATTGCCCAAGTCGAGATTCAAACCGAAGACCCATGGCTTGGAAGTTGAAAGCTTGAGTTAATAAGCTACATCTTCAATATTAGTTTAACGGTAATTAATATCATATTTTTGGAGTGATAAATAGCTTTTCTTCGATATCTCCTTAAAATGAATAAATTCACTAATCAAAAAATGATCTAATAAAGAAAGCTACTCAATAACTCAGGAGAGAAAAAGTAAATTAGTCTAATAATATAAGAATAACGCTTACCAACGAGCAATTGCATCTTGAACAGCACATGTCAATGCATGCCCAACATGAAGTGAACCTGTGACATTCGGAGGCGGCAAAATCATACTAACCACAGATTTATTGCGATTCCCTAAAGTCTGGGTGTTAGGAAAAGTGAAAAGAATTGCACAGTTGAGTTTCAATTAACTTTTAATATTTCTTATGTATAAATCAACCTTAAAGTAACTCATCTGTTCGTGTCAGCTTTCTTCGTGGTTAGACTAAAATCACTTAATCCTTAACAAATGTCTGAAGAAAAATACAAGCTGATGACGGCTAGTTACTAGCTTCGACATGGATTTCTTGAAGTTTTAATGAGAACATACGACCTGCAGGGTTAACTAAGTCAGTTTTGAGAACAAATAATCTCCGATTGCATTGGATGATGGTCACACTATATTGCTGATTGAAAGAAATCTGAAAAAAATCGACCCAGTAGCTGAATGGTGATATACTCACGAGATCTGATGGTCCTGAAATCGATCTCTCATGGTCTTAGATGCGCACTAATGAGGAACCCTATGCTAGAACGAAACAACTGTCCATTGCTCCTAGGTTTTCAGCAGTTCTCCAACTCATATCAGTCCGCTACGAACACTATCTTGGAATCAGTCAGTTCCAAACAAACATTAACTAAATTTTAATAAATTATTTTCTGTCAAAAACAACATCGTTAGATCGCCTGTCTTGTTTAAATGTCAAAGTGTTATCCAAAATCTCGGACTGAATTTATCATACAAAACATGAACCCAACGGTTTGTTCATTCACTTTCAAAACAGTGAGATGATAGTTTGAATCAACATCAACAAGACTTCAGAGGTAAATATTGTTGTCATAGCTTTCTTATACAATATACCACAGTTGTCGAATCAGGTTCGACAACTTGTAAGTTATTTCACTGTCTGAATTCACAAGAAAGTCAAGCGTGGAGTGGTAGGGAGGGGAGGAAAGTCAGTCAGTTGTAAACCTTCATCTACTCAGTTAGCGTGTACAGATGTTACAAATACATAGTCACTGCCTGTTTCGTCGCTCAATGTTAGCTGAAGTAACTGGCTGATTGACAAAAACAAGGTAGAACCTCTCACACAAGTGCATTGGGTCGAATTAACATACTTCACAGTAGTATACAAAGAACAGGTGGTTAGAATAGGAGTAATATCACACGTAGAAAGAGTTGTTTGAGAGGATAAACAATCTCAAGATAACGATTAATGCAAATATTCAAGCTTTAGGAGATGTCAAAGAGCATTTCTGGGCCATTGTGACTGATTTTCAGCCATGTCACCGAGAGCTCTCAACCACTAATTTCTATCGTCTTGGGTACCCCAAACAGTTATTCCACATCTCACAACACGACTAAGATCAACAGTATAAGACTTCACCGACTTGTGCCAGGTCTTGGTGTGGTCACCCTGAACCCTCTTCCAACTTAATTCAACTTCCCTTAGCATGGCATGTCGAGGTAGTTGGCGATGCCTCGGCATGAACAGTACATGTCCAAGTCACCTCAGTCGATAAAGGTTCACAACTTCGTCAATCTACTTGTCTGTCTTGCCTAGTATCCTTCCCCTGACCTCAACATTGCTCACATAGTCAGAGACCGTCAGACTAGAACATGGCATGGTTGCATGAAGCCTTTGACTGTTGGTCTGAGTAATATAAAGAAATGTACACTAGTCAGTTGGTGCCGGGATCACGACCAAAATCAGTAGTCGGAGACTTTAGGTGATATGGATCAGAATCTATGTTAATTTCGTAGATGAATGAAGGCATTATCTTCATGCTAATCATCATATTGAATTTCAGTACTGTGTCGTTCCTCCTTGTAATCGTATCATCAATTTCTACCACTTTCGACCGCTTTCTTCTTCATTCCCCCATCTTTCATTTTAGTGAATTTTCGCTTAATGTGTTGATATGAGATGTTGCAACTTGGACCGTTACGCAGTTATGCCAGGCCTTGTGTTGATTTCGTTTCTAGTTGAAAATATCTTTCCAGGAAAGATTATCAAAGTAAAACTTTTGACACATAAATTTAAGCAAGCACAGATGAACAATGTACTACTTTAAGGAACCGAAGCCAAAAGCATAGGAATATCAGACAAGCATGATTTACCGTGCTACATTATTGATTCCATAAGACATTTTATTTAGGAATTATTTATCAGTATTTTCTAATACCTTAATTCTAGAGTGGTGTATTCACCCTTCATTTATTTTTGTAGGTTATTTTGTTCCTAGATAACTGTCTGCTGAAGATAAGCAATTAATGCGCATCATTCCACTTTCTATGTATGAAATCAGTGATTTCATTTTTATGAACTATAATGCGTTGTGGACATGAAATTCAGTAACATATATTTATGACTCAGTTGGAATGATTAAAAGGACAGTGAGCCGTTAGTCTTCGTCTTCCATTGCACAGTAAGAGGGGAAGAAAGACTAACAGTTTAAGGGGCACAAATATCCCATCTTGCGATCAGTACATTAGTGACATATACGCTAGCGTAAAGCGTATACAAGTGCAGCGATATTCAGGTAGTGAAGCGTGTAGAAGGTCACGAATCATATGAAAGTACCAGAGAGATATTTTCGGTAGTTATCAATTCGAGCCCACGATTAAGGTCGTGTCAGTTTATTTACCGGAATGACAATTCTGTGAGTGATAAAAAGACCGAGCTAGCAAACAATGAAATAACCAGTTAAATTTCAGTGGTTGCTTCAATGGTATTTAGAACCACTCTAAGTTCAAGCAGCTTTAATGGCCACTTTAGCCACTACTCAAATAATTACATACGCTTCTTTATTTTCTAAAAAATCGCCTTTCTAACCAAGATTGAGCCAAGTAATCGGTTATTAAACACTTACCATAGTGTTTGGATTGAAAATATCTAAACGATCCCATAGTGATTTACATAGTTTATGACTTTCTACTAATGCTGGATTATATGCAGTTTCTGAGTCTACAAAAAAAATTTATATGAACATATAAAAATAAATAATTCCTGTTTGTTAGATAACACTAATAAACCCTAGTGAAATTCCTTCGCTTAATAAATTTAAATAGAGTGAGAATAACAGTCTTAACAGAAAAACACAAATCACTCTTGTTTCGGTGTTTCTCATCAGCTGCTCACAAAATAAAACAACTTTAACTTCAAAATGCGCACTAAAAAGCTTATTTACTTGAATTAATTTGAAACAAAATTAGTAGCCTGAAAAGAAGATAACATTGACGTTATCTAAACTAGAACCACAAAGATTAAGTGAATAGATAGACAAGAATGAACCATAATCTGGCTTATATATAGAAAGAGGATTCTAGAGCGAAAGTTCAACAACAAAAAGGGATAAAAATATTCTACACATTGAGAGGTGTGCTACTCGAAAATATGACGGAAAGGTTAGAAGATTTGCGCCAGCTAGGATAGTAAGATTATCAAATAGCACAAACAGTAAAGGTGAGTGGATTCATAATATTGCGCTAAAAAAACACTCAAGTTATCACAAGAACAAAAGTCGCCACCGTCAGTACCATGTGACAACCTCGCCTAGGTAACTAGTACACTAGTTACTAGCCCGTCCTAAGCCCGAAAAAGAGGGAAGGTTGGGCATAGAACTAGCAAACCTACCCCGTAAAACCAATCTAACCGCTAAAGAAACTTCAAAGAACAAAGTAAATATAAGACAAAATTAAACTTATTCCTCGTTGGAATTGAAGAGACAAGATGACACTGGTTGGTGAAAGCCTTCGGGAACCCAACTGCCCGATGCGACTTTTCTCGATGAAAGCAAAAGTAAACATGAAAACATGGAATGTCCACACCATGATTGAACCTAGCAAGATTGCAAAGGAGATGAAAAGGTATGGCTTAGAAGTGCTTGGAATCTGCGAAACTAGATGGGATCCAAGTGGACTCTCCAAACTGTCAACTGGAAAGTCATAATCTACTCCGATATAGTCACCCAAACAACAATCATGAGGCATATTGAGTTATAGAGTGGCTATCATGATGTCAACAACAGCACCGAAGGCTGTCTCTCATGTAGTGGGAACCAATCTCCTCCTCCACAATCGGGATCATGACAGCAAGATTCAACTCAAAAGGAAGCAAAAACGCAATCATACAATGATACGCTACGCAAATAAATATAATGTAGATCAAGAGAAGAAGGAAGAATTCTACAGACAACTGCAATCAACACTGGACAAGACTCCAGTTGGCGACATCAAAATCCCAGTGGGTGACATGAATGCCAAATTAGGAGCAGACAACACACGAAGAGAACCAATCATGGGTCGAAAGGCACTCACTGAAATGATGAATGAGGATATATATATATATATATATATATATATATATATATATATATATATATATATAAGTAAACTATAGCATAATGACAATCAATGGCCAAGTGGAACTTTCAATGACAGAGGTGGAATCACTAATTTACCTGGAGTTGGAAGAATGACTAACTGATAGCTTGGAGACTGCTGATTCGAAACCTCTCATAACATAGGATTTCTTTCAACTTCAATCATAACCCTTGTAAAATGACTTAAAAAGTTTTTTTGTAAAAACGACCAATCAGAAGACTTGATAATTACAAATCAAGTGAACTACTGTTCACAAAATCTACAAGGGTAGAGCTATTTTGAACAAACAACTTACGCAAAATGTCCCAATGAGGATAACTGGTTGACAAAGGTGTTTTATCAAATGATACTTTTTGACAAGTGGATTTCCATCGTTTGAAAATATTCAACTGAAATTGCCGGAGTACTTTACGACCATATCCAAAATGAATCAGGATTCGTAATTGATTGTGCATGCAACTGTTAAACAAGAATTGAATAAATTCAAAATTGATAGGAAAGACTTCAATGCTGAACTGTTTAATATTCATTATGTTTGGACATCTTATTCAGTCTGAAACAAACATGTCCACTATGAAATGCAGCAGAAGAATACAATTTATCAATTCATGTGCTCAGTCATGAGCAGCAACTTACCCTGTGATGGCTATGATATTAATCAATAGTTCACACCTAAATAGCTGGATCAGGGTTCGAATATGTGAGAAATGAAAATGAATTCCAAAGAATTCTTGTGAACTATGATGTGTTGCTGAAATAAATTTCTATGGTAGCCCCTAGGAACTAGTTGCTGACGCGCAACTTTTAATCACCTTTAGAAATATACAGACACAAGAATAGGCAGAACGACAAACAAAAATGTATAAGAATTTTAGAAATACCTTAAAGCAACTACACAAAGCATTACTGGTCTGATAGATATGATGACAGATGTATCTGCAGTGCCAACAACGAACCAGTATAAGAAGATATATGGAACGCATGATTGAAGTAGGTAGGCGTATTCATTGAAAATCAATTTGGCATTTTTCGTACATTACTCAACTGTTTTTCACAAATGTTTAATCCCTCTTTGTCCAAACGTCAAGTAATTCGACCCAGTGTATTGGTGAGAAATTAAAAGTATCAATAAATAAAGTACTAAAGGTAGCTTTTGTGCCCCAGTGACCTATTGGATAACGCTGCGGCGTTTGAAGTGATACGTGCTGGGCTCAAGCCTCAGTGGGAACAAGATCACTCACCGGGGTCCAGGTACATCCAGCTGATTAGTCCCAAGTAGGACGAAACGTGCTTTCTGTATCCCGCTGCTAAACAACAAATACACTACAGTATAATGAAGACTCGGGGAGTATCGAGGTGGCTGCATAGGAGCCCATCTGCGAACAGTGTATCGATGGGAAATTACAAATATCAAGTAACACTCTCCTTTGTCCACTTTAGCGAACCAAACCAAATGACCTTTGTTTCGCAGCCTCAGTGCTAAGGTTGTTGGTGTTTGAAAAAAGAGTCAAGGGTTCGAGTCTCAGGAGGAAGATCAAGAGACTTGTAACCTGGTATCTTTATGTGATGAATCCAGAATATAAAACAAAGGGTGAGCAGTGAACCCAATCACCATACAAACAGCATAAGATTCCATATGACTATTTTATTTAGGCGTCAGATCATTACCACGTAACGGTTCATGTTACTACAATTCATATCACCACAGTAAGTTAGAAGGTAACAAGGTGAACAAAAAAGAAAGAATTCGAGAAAGGAATGAGACAATAACAAAGCTTGGCTTGACGATTAAGATAGAGGTAATTCGTGGATACATCTGCGTCACTTGCATAGATTCTGAGCTATATCATCAAGAGTCTCCGAATACTCCCTTCGCTTGTCGTATGGGAACTAACTGCGAAGTCTACATTTCCCAACACGGTCCACATAAACAGTGGAAGACTACAGGGACTGATATCTGTATTAGTCTGGCCCCTTTCGAGCCTAAACCTACTTCAGCTAATGAGGCAGATGATGACTAGATACGCATAATACACTCCCCAATTATCTGTCTCTATGAGTTAACAACTTTATCATCTGACTTACCTCTCGTAACTAAAATAATACACGTGACTTCCACATTACTGATATGGTGGTTTCGAAAAACATGGCCTATGCGATGACGGCAGAGGCGGTCGAATAAATGAAGCTTTTAATAGCCATGTTTCAGTCATATAACAGGAGAGAGAGAACTGCAGGGCAGTACTGTTGGTCCTAATATGCCGTCAAGTATCGCGGTGATGCCACAGATTGTACAATTTGGCAGACGTTATTCCCCTCTTTTTTATCCGTGCAGAGATAACGCCTGCCACTGTTCCAGTTGGGTTGGTCTGACGTTGAGAGTTAGCGAAGTGGTCAACGCACTCAACCACTTCACCTCCAATTGTTAGACAGCAATCCTGGAGCGACAATTTGCACTTATGCGGTGAGGTCACCGCAAACGATCAAATTGCTACTCAGAGTGTGCAGAAGGCTTTCTACCTAATCATCTTCTTCCTAAAAAGTGTCCCTTTCCAAGCTCCACAAAGACGAGAAGACCACATACATTTCAAATAAACGATGAGTGTATAATGTTACCATTTTTGAAAACAAACTCCAAATGGAAGTGGTTTCATTTAATAATGAAAAAGTACACCTTAAATGGATCAAGTTTCAAATAGTATGAGCATAGTATGCTGGCAAAGAAGCACTGCCATTTTTTTATTTATCATGCATCACTTTTCTCAGGATAAGACTTTTTTTAAGCAATCACCTCTACACAATGATAAGTTTGTAAGTAACAGAAGTTTTGCTCAATTCACAAAAATATGCCCTAATTACGTAATCCCCAAGCATCTACCTATGAGAGCTGAGGCAACGCCATCTACTTCTACTACTTGGTCCAAAAAAATCAAACGCTTCATGGTGTTTCACCTGTTTATTAAAATGGCGCACAAGCCCTAAACAAGACCAATTTTAAAGAACAGTTCTGTGATAAACAGATTTCAGAAAGGTATGCTTAGAATAATCACTATTTACATTTTAGCTTAAGGACAGTATGTATGAAATGAAGACGTAACAACGACGACATCAATCGTGTGACTTTGGCATAATCCTAATTTCAAGATAGTTTTATCCCAGATTGACAAAAGTTGGAGAACCACTAAAAATCTAGGAGCAACGGACAACTGTTTTATCCTAGTATGGGATCCATTCATGAACATGTAAATGACCAATAAATCTCGCGAAAAACCTATTTGATTTATATTGTAGTGACCGTTAGTAACCTGTTTCAAAATACATTTCCCATGTGGGGTCAGTCAATTGTGCAGTGGGAAGGACGTTCACCGACAACAATGGATGTTGGTTGCACCATACCATGGATTGGTGGAAGCAATGAAAAGGAACCATTGGATCCCAGCCCAGAGGCTGAAGCGTAACACACTCACTTTGAGGCCCGATGGTCATGGGCTGGTTCCATTGTGGGTACGGAAAGTTGAGGAATCTCATACTAGGACGAAACATCTGTTTAGTGACTCAAAGTTTTCGATGATTCTCCTACTAATTTCAATCCACGATATAAACTAAGTTGGAATCAACAAATCCCCACAAACCACCCGTATTTAAATAAACTCTTCTTTACACACTTTAATATATAGCGAAACTCAGGAATTCAAAATTACAACAATTACGATACAGTAACAAGTATTGCTTACAAGATAATCTAAATTATTCCATTAGGCTGGTAAGACAAGATAATCGCAGTAGTAACGCCTAAACGCTAGCATAAACCTATCAACGAAATGTGTAGTTCAACCACCGTGTCCAATGACAGAACATATTCACTGGAGTCAGACATTAGAAGTTAATTCAAAGGAAGTATCATTTAAACTAATTACCAAACTTGTTAGCGCACATTTACAAAGCTGTTCGACTCAGCTGTGAAGTTAGAAACGCTACCACTAAGCTATTAAAGGCCATATCTGATGCTCTGCTACAGTGGTTGTCCTACATTAGAATGTACGGAAAAAAGAAATCACGAATACATTCTCTGACTTCGGTCCAAATCATGTGAGGGAGGAATATAGAGACTTAGTGCAACTTATTGCTCGAAATTAGGAATGTAGAAGATCATGTCTACACACTGAGATGCTTTGAATAGGTAATTGAATCATTACTAATTCTTTACAAAAGTGATATAATATTTTCAACTGATCACTACAATTGTAAATATCGATCTTACTTCAGGAAAAAGTAACAAACAAACACAACAAAGTTGTTGTTGCCAATTTGCGTTGCGCTTGAGCTATTCAAATTAACTTCAGTGACAATTTTGTGAATAAGCGCTTGTCAGCTTTTCAATGTTTGAACAAGTAAAACGAATATTATCGGTGCAGGAGTCAGATGAACCACTTAGCAAAACAAGCTATCATACAGTACGTCAGGAAGGATAAAAGGGTCTGATCAACAAAATTAACGTAGAAACTTGTATACAAGTGCATCGGCTCTAGTTGCTACAAAAGTGTCAGTGATACCCAATCCACCTTGACCATTTATTACACAAAGATGATAACAAATGATGATACAGTCCATATACTAGGCAATAAGCCCCAGGTCAAATGAGCTACACACACGTGTGGTTAAGATTTACAAAATAATCAAACAAAATGAAAGTCATCAGAAGCAGATATTAGCTCAATAATAACTAAGAATGTAACTTTCTATTTTGTGATGTTTAAACATTTTACCCTTATGCTGTCATCTAGCGTTAAACTTGTGCATCTTTGTGAGCAAATTAGCCTTGAGTCTGATGATTAAAATTCCACTAGTTAACATTCCCCGCTATAATCCTTTTACTGTTCACCACCAGATGGTATCCAGCGGACTCATGAACTTTACAACAACAACTAAAACCAGAAACTACTCAGTCTGTTACGTGAGGACTGACACACTATCCATGATCACGAACAGCAATAATGAGAAATGATATCAGACTACTGAGACGTACATTGTTTGCTGAAGCGATCGTATGAAATATTAAGTCCCTAATAGTCAGTTACTAGCCGCTTGGCATTTGCCAACTTGGGTCATCACTAGAGCCGACTGGCCAGGTAGTCAGCCGAATACCTGTTCATCAAAGCACTAGAATTCTGGAATCCACCGTCCTCTCGCCTTCCATACGCCTGTGACACACAGCCATTGAAAGTAGGTCTCGACAGGTTACTACTTTCCAACACACTAACATCGTCGCATGGCTTAAGCATGGTCGAATCACTCAATGCCAAGCTTATGCCAGGAATAATTGATGTTCAAAAATCTAAATCCAATCAGCCATCTTGTGCACATTCATGTAGCAAGCAATAAGCCATAGCTGTGTGAGGGCTGACGATACTACCAAGGTGCCAAAACCTCGGTGAGTGAAGCTATGGCTAACAATAGAGAACGCGGAGGTTGAGTGTGTCGACCACTTCACTTACCTGGGAAGTAGGATCAACCTTGATGGCTCAGTGGCCGATGAAATCTCTGCACGGATACAAAAAGCCTGGGCTGGCTTTTGGGAATTTACGCCACCTATGGCGCCACCGTGATATTCGATTGTCTATTAAGGGTCGTGTGTACTGCACACCAGTCCGGTCTGTTCTTCCATATGGCCGTGAAACACGCCCATTGAAGGTGGGAGACATGAGAAGGCTGGCTGCAGGTGTTTGACCACCGTTGCTTTCGTAGTATAGGCCATATTCTGTGTTGTCACCACGTGAGTAACGCAGAAGTCACGTGTAGAGTTTTAGGGAGTAGAGGTAAGTTAGTTGACGAGGTTGTGAAACTTCATCGACTGAGATGGCTGGCTGGGACATGTACTATGTATGTCTAGTTGATGGTTGCTTTGTCAAACAATGTTGGCCGAAGCAGGTTCAGACTGGGAAAAAGCACGAGGCGGCCACATGGCACCAATGTATGAAGTCGTTGACTGTTGATTTGAGCCGTGTGGGACGATGCAGACTAGGTGGTTGGGGTCCCCGGGACAAAAGAAACCAGTGCTTGGTGATATGGCTGAGAATTGATGTCAGTGGCGCAGGTGTATACACACACTATCCTCATCTTAACATTATGCCGATTCTCACCATTGTCACTCTTCCTTTCTTTCTTCTCGTACTTTATATTACGTTTAACTGAACTTTCTTATCTTCATCTTTCACCTCACTACCTTTCTACTTGATGTACTGATATGAGCTGAGGCAACTCGGACCGTTACGCAGTAATGTCTGGTCCTATGTTGATTGACCAAATTCACAGTGGCTGATATTATCATGTGCTGGAAACTACCTGGGATGAGACATCTACTCCTATCGCTTATAAATTCGATTTCGAGAACGTTAGCTTGTTCAATAGTAACAACTAACAGTGAGACACAGTCCTCTGCAGTTTCCTGTCGTTGACAGGAATAAACTCTTCGGTAACTATTGATATAGGCTTTGGTTACCTAAGCAGTGGTTGTAGCATTCAACCATTTCCGTCGGATAAGGATCCCCTATCGTGATGCAGTCGCTCATTGGATAACACTCTAGTTTTTGGAGCAAAGCGTACTGGATTCCAGTTTTAGTGGGAACAACAATACACACAGGATGCAGGTATGTCCAGCTAACGAGTCTCAAATAGGACGAAATGTGAGTCCTGGATTCTACTACTATCCACTATTAATATCAATCTGTTCATAGTGATTTATTACTAGATAAAATATTAACATAAGTTAGATAGTGTGAACCACTAGCTGACAAACTAGTGGACTAATAGAAACCCAATAGTTAACGTAATAGAACTGTCATAGTTTTGATTCCGCACGAAGTTGTAGGTGAGCATGGCTGAAGGGCGTTAGACTAGGACAAAGTACATCCAGTACTCTCTGATCACTTATAAGTTTCTTGGTGACGTCAATCTATGACGAATAAGAAACAACAAACGATGCTGAAATTTCAAATTTCCCAAGTGATAATTTTCCGAAAATATTATGATCTATAGTTTACGTAAACAACAAACAGTACAGTGATTAAAAACAAGAGTAGAAATGTCAAAGTGAATATTTATTTAAACTTATGTAAAAAGTACACAATAATTCATTTTTATGGAAAAATGGATATATCTATATACTTCCCACATATAAATACTTATGAGTAAAAAAGTAATATGAGTACTCGTAGAAGCTTTAATTCACACACACACACGCACACACACAAATATTTACATAGTTCTTAAGTTCACTAGTGTATGTATAGCAAGGACATCACGAGTTGATTGGATGTACTTCATTATCATATGGCGATGACGACGAAGATGATGAGGGCGGTGTTGTCAACAATTTAGCAGTATTCTGCTGAACTGTAGCTTTGCGTGCAGCATCCAGTAGGACGTTAATAAGATACCGATTTTTGAAAGGCTCTGCACATAAATCTCTTCCACTAATACCGTGACCGCGAACAGGTGGCCATGGATTTCCATGCAATTCTAAAATGCCAAATGCATATCCACCGTTTCCTTTCACTGGATAAACTGGAGCTTGGATTTTAAATAAACTGGTATAAGCACGCTCATAAAATCGATATCTTGGTACTAACACCTAAAGAGGAAATAAAGTAAAAGTTATATTATATAATGGAGATCGAAAGATATAACAGGTAAAGAGCATAAACAAAATATCATTTAGTATAATTGTTTTTATATGATGCAGTCGTTGATTGGACCGAATTGATCAGTCTCTATTAGCATATAGGCCCCTATGCGGAAGCCTCTATATTGCCAGCGTTCTAATTATGTTAATGGTGGATCGTGGCTAGCAGTGGAATCCAGGATGCGCATTTCGTCCTATTTGGGACTCGTCAGCTGGATGTGCTTGCTTCCCAGTGAGTGATGTTCCCACCGGGATTCGGACTCGGGAGCGATCGCTTCAAACGCCAGGGCGTTATCCACTACACCACCGAGCCACGAAGCGGTCGCTCCCGAGTCCGAATCCCAGTGGGAACAACATCACTCACTGGGAAGCAGGTACATCCAGCTGACGAGTCCCAAATAAGACGAAATGTGCATCCTGGATTCCACTGCTAGATACGATCCATCATTAACAAAATATTTGCAAAAAGCAAATCCATCAACTACGGCAAGAATTACATTGGAAAAAGTGGCTGCCTCTTCGTCTTTGTTGTTAATTAAACATTACGACATTTCGGCCCTTATTTCAATGCATATAGACAACTGTGTATACGAATTCAACTTTGAAAATGTAGAGAGCTTAGATAGGAGAAAAACCAAGAATACCAGGGAATCTCTAGAATTTTGAAATTCAGATGAATTAGCAATAAACAAATGTTTTCACAGAGGTCCCATCTATCAACCAATAAGAAAACTGATCAACAAAAAGGTGAACGTTCAAGGCAGAGAAACAATCAATAGGAAGACTTGCGCAGTCAATGACAGAACAATCATAGGAAATTATCAATCACTTTGTCAGGATAGGTTACTGAGTCATTTTAGGTTGGAACTTCATCATGGACTGATATCAGTTGGAGGAACACTGGAAATCTAGGAGCACTAGGTAGCTGTTTCTTCCCAGTGTAGGACTCTTCCTCCTACTAAATCATTCATGGAGAAAACCTGATAGTTCACTTTCCTACTGAGGTGTGTAGTGGCAATGTTCTCTAGAAAGATAGTGAGAACTTCATGATTAAACCACCCAGATCAGAGAATGTAACACCACCAAGGTTACCCATCTTAAATACAAATATTTTCCAATATTCTACATAGACGTTTATGTCAACAGATCAATAAATAGCGTCTGATGCTATAAGTGACGCCAATACACTCACTAGCCATGTCCAAAATACGATGCAACACACCTACCTTACTCAACTGTTGACCACAAAATAAAGGTATATGTGCAATTATAGAATACAACTGAATAGTGGTGACACATGCAGAAAAATAGATATAATATAACTGGAAACAGTTGACAGGAAGCCATGTACCAAAGTTTCGTACTATTTGGTGGTTTTACCTCTGTCTAAAGTCGATTCAAATACCCCAGATGCAATCAAAAAGTAATGAAAATGCCTTCATTATGGAGGCTGCTTAGAACTGTAAACCTTCACCTACTGCCATGGCTTAAGCACGTGTTGAGCATGCCTCATACATCCCCAGCTTGACGTGCAATGCTAGGGTAAGTTGGATTATGTTGGAAGAGGGTTAAGGGTGGACGAACCAAGAGGTGGCACCAATGCGTGAAGTCGCTGACTGTTGGTCACGACCAAGTAAGGAGGCTTAGGCTATCCGGTTGGGGTCCTCAAGACCAGTGGTTGAGGACAGCTGGAGAAATGTCTGAAAAAGGGTCACAATGGCGCAGACGTTTTCATGCCTTGTTATCTTCTAAAACATGAATCTTTTGACTAAACTTAATTGTTAAATTCTTTCTCCTCCAATACATCTTTTTATATTACTGTTAGGCGTGACAACTTGAATCGATGCACTTATGTACGAGGTTTTCCGTTTGTGCACACGATCAGCCCCGGCCAGAGTCCAGTAACTCCGCAACAAAGAGCACCGAAACAAACAAATAGGCAAAAAAAGCCCCTAACTGCGCTGACACGTATCTGATCTCGGCCTGTTTGACTTGGCCCCCAGAGCCAATCCTCCTCCCGAAGTTAAGGATCCCATTTGCCAAATTCACTTGCCTACGTTGTCCACTTGCCAGAGACTGTTCACCTTGGGGACCCGTTGGAGATATCGATACGGCCTGGCTCGGATTTCCGAGGGTCGACAAGAACGTTCCGCTAACCGCAAGATGGGTGGTATTCTACGGAGGCTAGCTTCCTATTTCCGAACAAGCAGATTCCAGAGGGCGAATGCACTTACGTCTGTCTGATGAAAATGCGCTGCAATTGAGAACCCCAGCTCATTAACAATACTGCGAACTTCACTAAAAGAATTTGGTCAGGAATCAGAGTTGGACGACTCTGTCAATGTCAACCAACACAAAATAGCATAAACAACATAGAACATAACACAAGATGGTCTGTCAACGAAAAGGAACGTTCAGTCAGTAAACCGCAATTTGCGCTGTGGTTCAGTGATCTAGGTTGCCGACTAGTGGGTCATGAGTTTGGGCCGTGCCCTATAATGAAAGTTTAAACTGTCATATAGTATCACACATAACAGGTGTTTAGAAAACCTTGGGCTCGAAACTGAATAGGGCTACTCAGTCGCATTGGCAATTACAGGTTTCAAAAGAAAACAGCCACATGCAACCAGACGTAAAGCTATTCAACAATATTCGATGATGCGTAGAAGTAGCCAAACATATTGCACAACGATTGTGAACAGTGACTGATAGTTAAAGTTAGGAAAAATAAACATTTGTGGTCCTCAATAGTGTGCACAGCCCCTTGAAAGATAGGTGGCTTGAAAAAAAAGTTACTTAGCGTGTCTATCATTATAAATAATGGTGGAAAGTCAAACTACACAACATACTATAGGACTGAACCTTGTGTACAGTTAATTCGTTGAAAATATCACTTATATCTTCCACGAGACTTAACCATTTAACGACGTAGATTCAAATTCTAAAGTAAAAGTGATCAACGGCTGCACATTAGTAGTATTGCTGACAAATCCATTACAGGTGAAAGCTTCAAGTTAACGATTTCCAGTTGGCTGTTACTTCTAACCATTGCTAATCAATTATATTAATTAAAAATAACATATGTTATTACCAAACTACATATATATTCGCAACCTGTTTGTCTGATATAGTCTCATCAATATAAGTAAAGAACTTGGGTAAATCGAATAAGACCATGACTAACGAATACATCAGGATGGGTCTATATGAAGAGGTAAGGAACCTGTAGACACAGCAATGAATAACCCGATCGACGGCTGGTACTTTGATGTGGTGGTAGGGTTTGCATATTACAATGACCCAAAGAGCTATGTTGAGGGAAAGCTGTTCCCTCGAGGTCCTGCCACGCCGGAAAGGTCTGTTGGATAGTAGTACGACGGAAAGCATTTGATGTTACCGTTGTAAATTACAACACTATGATGAAGGTCTGAAGGCGAATTCGCACCACTGCTAGATGGATGGAGTGTGATAACAGTAAGGTCTTTTTTGGAAGACTAGCAGTGCCACGTCGACCCTGCCTTCTAAAAGGAAGGAGGGGGTAAAAAAGGTCGACACAAAAAATAACACATTCTTCCCTGCCCCACCGTCTCCCAGTACCGATAGTACGGTGTTTTTTGCAAATCCGGCATTATAACAACTAAACCTCAAAACAACAACCCAAAACGTGCTGCGATAGCCCTCAAGCAGATGCCCTATGGGGTCTAAGGTCACACAAATCTTTTTATCCTCCAGGTACCTTGAGAAGAAATAGCCTTCCACTGTGTGGGCAGCTGGGAAGTCTCAACCCCCCACAAGAATCCCACTAGTACACAAGACACAATCAAACAACCTATCCTTATTACCTCTGTCTTCTCCTTCACCTTAACCTTCTAGTACTAATATTAAGTCTCTTAAGACTTCCTCAATCTCTCAGTCTCCAACCATTGCCAACGATCGAAGCCATCAAAACCTTATTCCTAGTCTCCTAAGACCCCACCTGCCATCGATTTCATGTTGGAGCTTTCAACGTCCGAACTCTATGCTAAATCGAATACCAAACATCTCACGCCAAAACTCTGGAATCCCTAGTCATAGATGTATGGTGTATCTGTGAGACACGTATATAGACACGACCCGAGTGTGGTTATTACATTGACCTTATCTGATCATAGTAGTGAATTTTCGAAATTCACTTTACCACTATCCGGAGACCAATCAGCTAGCTCTCGTGGACTCGCTGGTGTAGGCACAGCATCGACTTGTAAAGCAGAAAGTACGCTTCTCAACGAGATTCCAAAACACAGTTGTCTATCAGCTGTTCGACTCAATGGATTTGTGAGGACTAAGAAGGATCGTGAGAATAAACCAATGCCTATCCGTGATCTCCGCCTACACACCCACCGACTGCAGTTCGGATGATGCAAAAGATTAATTCTATGAGCTGTCAATTTCGTCACAGAAAACAAATGTACAGATGCAGACATAATGGAAGGTGAACTCAACCCACAAGTAGGGAAGCTAAGTAAATCAGAGAGCCACCCTGTAGGTAGTTAATCAATCCCATGCCAACGAACGGACAACGGTGATCGACTGCTGTAATTTCGCTCCGAATCACTTGTTTCTGACAAGCACTAACTTTAAGCCTAAGGAGAGACAGTGTCTCCATTGGTGTCCGTCGACATCAAATCAACAATGGACACAGATAGATCATATTGCTATAAGTCGTAGTTGGAGAGGATTGCCACTCTTTCCGGAGTACCAGTTTGAACTTCGATCACGCACTAGTACGGGCTCGTGCATACCTGCGCTTTTCTTGCTGAAGTGAAGCAGTGAGGCTTATCTGCGGTAAACTGGAAGATGAGGAAGCCAGGTACATATATTTATAGCATTTGTCAACTTGCATCATTTGTGGTGCCTGCAAGATATGCGACAATCTATTGAAGGAGTATACTGCTCTGAATTCCATTGTC